GGCCCAGGACTTGAACTCCAGTCAGTTATGTGGGGGTCCAGCTCCCCTAACCACCACACCACCTGCTGGCCCCAGACCTTTCTTTTTCTTGTTTCTTTTTTTTGTTTTCTCAATATTAAAGCAGTGGGTGGAACTTCAATACGCATTTGACAGCATGAAGGAAAAAAAGAGACAACTTTAGTCCTAAGATCTTTAAGTTGATGAACAAAAGCCAGGAAATAATTCTTTTTGTAAAAAAAATAATACCTCTATATTTAGTGGAAATTTCAGTCACGTGAAGATAAACACAATCTCTAACTAATATACCACTCTTTCATATCCTTCTTAAATTTTAATAATTTCTCTCAAACCTAGAGTAATCCCACACTTAAATATTCTCCTTTTAGAGTAGGAAAAGATGGGCTGGTTTTTTCAATAGGGACTGAAAACTGAGTTAAGGTTCTAGCTCAATAATACCATCTCTTCAATATTTCTCTGTATGTGCTTTTGGAATAGGTGAAAAACACATAGATCAGATGTTAAATGATGAAGGAGAAAACGGACAACCATGCGACAACTTAAAGCACCCCTCTTTAGTAATCCATTGAGTCACAGATACAAACATGTTATCCCTAGATAATTCAGCTGGCTATAAGTTACTTAAGTTTAGGAAGCACTTCAGATGTGAAGTAGAAACAAGATGAGGCTACTTCAAAATGTGGAAAATGGAACTAAAATACAAGCTTATTTGGTTGCCAACAATTTTTAAATCTATGCAGTTTTTTCATAATATGCATTTTCAATGAATTTTTATTTTTTTAATGAATTTTTAAATGACTCTGCTTATTCAATTTTCTACGAAATTTTTTATATTAAATTACTAACTTCGAGTTTATTATACATCTAACTCTGTTCTAAGTACAGATATAATTTAATACTTACAACAACTCTATGTATCAGCAACTACTATCTTATGGACAAGAAAAAAATAGGATAGCTAGTCTCAGGATCTAGTGGTTAAGAGAGCTGGATCCCACATAGTCAACCATGTTTCCAACAAAGACCAGGCAGCTTGGAAACCATGCCAGGTACACGTGTGTACATGCCCAAAATCCTGACAAGATGGAGAAATAGATGAGAAGGGAGTGTGATGTGAGCACACCCCATTTGGGGCTCTTTATCCGTTTGTCTCTTCCTGACTATCTCTCTCTCTCTCTTGTGAGTTTACTCACTCTCTGGAATTAAAAAAGAAAAAAGAAAAAGAGTGCCGAAGGTCCGAGCAGCATCCACAGGCATGCTACGTGTGCGGCGCTGCACAGATGTGAGCGTGTGTGTGGGGCCGTGTGCATAACATGTTGCGGCAGGCCAAGGGGACCCGGCCTGCCCCCGAGAGAGGCCTTCAGTGCTATTTTTAAAAAAATAATTTTTATTTAACTTTATTTATTTAATTTATTTTAATTTGACCAGAGAAAGACAGAGAGAGGGGAAGGGAGAAGGCAAGCTGTCAGGCCCAGGACTTGAACTCCAGTCAGTTATGTGGGGGTCCAGCTCCCCTAATCACCACGCCACCTGCTGGCCCCTGACCCCCCAGTGTTCTTAATCTGTCCATCCCAAGGTCTGTCCCTGTGGCAGGAAACAGGTCCTGTTGCAGACCTTCTGAGTGGACAGCGGCTGGTGGAGCAGGCTGGGCTCCCACATGAGCATCCTGTGTAGTCCCACGTCCAGAGAGCGGTGCCATCTTGGGGTTCCTGATCATTTTGGAGCAAGGCAGCCTGCCTTCCATTTCGTGCTGTGTGTGTAGCTTCCTCCTACTCCCGGGAGGAAGGGTCGGGGCCGGTCGAAGCTGTCCAGCTGGCACCTTCACAGGTCCACTGTGACTTGCCAGCCCATGAAGGTCCAGCAGCCTTCGTCTGGCGGACCTCTCCAGTGCCTCCTGTGTGCCCGGCACTGTTTTGGGGCCTGGGTTATCCCCACCTGTGCAGCTCCATTGACTGAGACCGACACGATGCAGGCATGGTGTGAAGGGTCCTGTGGCCACAAGAGGCCTCCCTAAATGCTCGTTTTTGTGCAAGGACCTGCAGGAAGAGCCCGCAGACATTGGGCTGTGGGGGAGGGGGAGCATTCCAAGCAGAGGAGAGAAAGCTCAAGTTCTGGGAAGGGATCAGTGGAGAGCAGACACGGGTGCGGCTGGAGGCAGAGAACAGACCAGGGGGCGTGACGGAGTCGGATTTGGGAGTCGGGGGTAACAGTAAGGGCTCTGGGGCTTCTCTGGGACAGAGATGGGACTGTTCTGGGTCTGACTTGCTTTTGTTCTGTTTTGCTTTATTTTTTGCAAGCCAGTGGTGGTCTTTTATCATTATCTTTAAAATATCACATCATGGCCTTAGAAACCATCGGCTCCTGTGACCAGCAGTTAGCATAATGGCTGTGTTGCTGGACTCCCACATAGTCGACTGCGGTTCAAGTCCTGGACCCAGTGGCTTAAACTCATGCTGGGTGTGCGTGCGTGCCCAAGATCCCGAGAGGAGAATGGAGAAGGGATTGTGGCATGGCCATCCCCCTGGGGGGTGATTTCTTGTTTTCTGTCTCTCTGTCTCTCTCTGTCTTCCTGGTGAGCGCACGCTCCTTATAGCAAAAAAAAAAAAAAATCCCTCTCCTCCCACAAAACAGACACATCAGCTCCTTGTTTCTGTAGCCGGTGAGCTCTTAGATCTTGCTCATCAGCCTGATAAACTGTGCCCTTTTCTCAAAGACAGATATCATCAAAAATGTTTCTTATATCCTTCCTTTAAGCTGTTGTGACTTGCTGTAACGAAGCAGCTGAATTAGAAACAAGTGGCGTGGTGGTTAAGGTGCTGGACACTCCCACATGGCCAACCAGTTTTGAGTCCCGGACCTGGTAGCTTGCTTTCTCACTTTCCTTCTCTCTGTGTCTATCTTCCTCTGGTTAAATTTAAATAAATGAATAAACAAAATAAAATAAATAAATCTTTAAAAAATAAAAAAGGAACAAGTTCAATATCATTGGCTTCCAGGAGCAACTCGTCTTCCTGGGCTTGAGAGATTGAACAAGCAACACCTGGTTGCATTCAAACCCTCCAGATGTGTTTTTTTACCCAAGAAATTTTGGATTTCCACAAGACCCACTCTCCCGGGTCACGACGCTGATGGGAAATGAGCACACAGGCCTCGTGTTGTGGCGGAGGCCCAGGGGGACCGACCGTGTTCTGTGATGACGGACAGGGCAGCTGCAGCCGGGTCCTCCTGTCTCCCACCACCTGTCAACCCGCAGCCCCTCTTC